TTCTATCTCTTGGATATGTCGGGCTCCTTCTCGGGATCCTAGTCGCAAAGTGCGACCTAGGATCTGAAAAGTGAGCATCTGGTGACTACTGGGTGTAGAGGGGGAACATACACTGGCAGTGCTTGGCATACTATTGAGAAGTCAGGGCAGTCCACGTGTTCAGGCCAAGCCCCTATCGGTAAAGCGACCTTCTCAGGGATATCCCACCATTCTGACACTAGGTGATGTGGTGGTCGGGGCTTTGGCCGGCCTGTGGCCGACTGGGTTGGCGTGGTGGACTTTGGCTTGTCGCAGCTCGGGTGGACAGTCATTGGGCTCTACCCACTGTACCCATATAGTCCAGTATAGGGCGGAGCCTGTGTGAGATAGAACGAAGGTTACGATATGGTAACCCTAGTTCTATAAGCACAGGCGGAGCCCTCTACTGGTGAGCCCTGCCGCTTCAGCAGACCGCGTAGGAGCAATCGGATGCTGAGGCAGTAGAGACACTGCAATTAGTTTTGTTTTTTCTGAACTCATTACTACACATAAACACAATCCCAGGTTTCTGTTTAAAACTGTGGATCAGCTGGTAAACCCAACCCCTCCTTGTGCCTCAGCTGGAAGTAATGATGACTGTGAATTGTTTTTATCTTATTTTACCAATAAGGTGGTGTCAATCAGAGCCTCTATTACCCCCGTGGCCTCTTACTCAGAGGTTCTTCACCAGCAACAAGAAAGTTTTAACCAGTTTTATCCCATCGACTTGTCTGAGCTTTTGAAAACAGTATCACAAATGAGAGTGTCCTCCAGCCCACTTGATGTAATACCTACAAAGTTTTTACTGAAAGTAATAGATTCTGTTGGGCCCCATTTGATCTCTGTTTTCAACAGCTCCCTATCTACTGGTTGTGTCCCTGATTATTTTAAAACAGCTTGCGTGAACCCACTTTTAAAGAAACCTGGTTTAGATCCCTCCCTCCCACATAATTTTAGACCAATTTCAAAACTGCCTTTTATTGCAAAGATTCTAGAAAGAATTGTGTCCAAACAGCTGCTCACTGTACTGGAAAATAACAAAATATTTGAAAAGTTTCAGTCTGGTTTCAGGAAGTACCACAGCACTGAGACTGCCCTGCTTAAAGTCACCAATGACCTTTTAATGTCTGCTGATGAAGGCATGTGCTCAGTCCTGGTACTCCTGGACCTTAGCGCTGCTTTTGACACCATTGATCACAACATCATGTTAGACAGACTGAGGCACTGGGTGGGGATCTCTGGTACTGCCATAGAATGGTTTTCATCCTACCTGTCAAATAGGAAGTTTTGCGTGTCTGTAAACAACTATGTCTCCTTGTTCTGTCCAGTTAAATATGGTGTGCCTCAGGGGTCGGTCTTAGGACCCATTTTGTTGGTTTTTTTCTGCTTCCCCTTGGACATATTATCCATAAACATGGCATTTCTTTTCATATTTATGCTGATGACACACAAATATACTTTCCCGTCAGATCCACAGACCCTGGAATGCTGAGTCCACTTAACAACTGCCTTTGTGAAGTTAAAAAATGGATGTCAAAGAATTTCCTCCAGCTGAACTCAGACAAAACAGAAATCCTGGTCATCGGGTCCCAGCAGATGGCAAAACAAATACTGCCATCTGCTGGTTCCCTAGTAAATCACATTAAGCCTGTGGCAAAGAACCTTGGTGTTTTGTTTGATAGTATTAAATTTCGAGCAGCACACCACAAAGCTTGTTCAATCATGTTTTTATCAACTTAGAAATATAGCAAAAATTCGATCTATGTTAACTTTTAAGGACACCGAGACCATTTTACACGCCTTCATCTCATCACGCCTGGATTATTGCAACAGCCTTTTCACCTGTTTAACCCAAAAATCTATTGATCGACTCCAGACTGTCCAGAACTCAGCTGCCAGGCTTTTAACCAGAACAAAGAAATATGACCACATTACTCCTATTTTAGCTTCATTACACTGGCTCCCAGTATGTTTTAGAATTGACTTTAAAATTCTATTGATCACTTTTAAAGCTCTTCATGGCCTCTCGCCTTGTTATATTTCTGACCTTTTAGTCCCATACGCACCAGCACATACCTTGAGATCCTCAGGCAGAGGATCTCTTGGAGTCAGTAGCTAAAAGGATATCATTAAAAGCTTTTGAAATAGCTGATTCGTTGCTATGCAGGGTTTTAAAACCAGATTGGAAAACTATGAGAATATTGTGCCCTTCCAAGAAGGTCATTAATTGACTGCAAACTATCTTTTCAAGAATTTTTTACAGAAAGGTTAGTTTGGAGATAGGCCTGAAATTAACGAGATCTGCAGGATCCAGACCAGGTTTTTCAATTAAAGGTTACAATACTGCATTTTTTAAATGTTCAGGGATCAACCCTGAGGAAAGGCTACTATTTAAAACTGCAAGAATAGATGGCCCTATAGTAGGGAAAACTGCCTTAATTTCACGTTTGATAAGGGTCACACTGTGAACACATCTACATGTCAATATTCACTCATACCTATAGAGCCACCCACTGGCAGCATGAAGTAAACCTTCAATGATGAAGCCCCATTGCCCTGTTTCACCTAGATGCACAAAACCTTTGTGGCTCATCTATCAACCCAGGATGCACAGAAAAGCCTTATGGAGCCATATGCAAAACCAGATTTGAATGTGCAATTGCAGTCCATTGTTCCGTCTTGTACAGGGTTTGTACTTTAACAACTCCTCGTACAGAATGGATTGGATTAACTTTAAATTTATGTTGTGCAATCTTAAGGTACTGATGATGAAAAGTTATGCTATCTATGAGTTTTCGTTGAAAGGCGTATAGGCGGTGTGGCCAACTAGGCGGTGTGGCCAACAATATTGATGATTCGCCATAAAACAGTAAGTTTTTATGATGATGATGTTTAACTCCTTCGTGACCGGTCCAAAACGTGCAATAATTCATAGCCATGTATCCCGACCTCCAGCCACTGCGCCACGGCTGACAGTATTGATCAAGAAAAAAGTGGAAGGAAGGAGCTGAAAGAAACCAAATGTGTTGATCACTTAGAACAAAGAAATGCAGCTTTCATAGTTTGGATCAATGAAAGATTGATGATTCAATTCTCAGAAGGCTCAACATATCTTCACATTATGAAGATATTTGGAAAGAAAAGTGAGCTCAGAGTTGGCAGAAAAAAATGCCAAATATTGATGAAGCAGGAAGATCAGTTTGGGATCAGATCCAGATTAGATGTTTGTGTTTCTTGGTGTTCTGGACTCATGTTGAACATGTGTCTGAAATGCTGTGTGGAGTTAAGATTCATTTACAGAACAGAAATGAAAACATTTGAAAGATTCTCTGACTGACCCACCACCACCGGGGGGCCTCAAATATGCAAGTAAATGTACTGAACTGAATTTAGGTTGGATTCTGCTGGGGAACAAGCTACAACAGACAAGGCTCGGGCCAGTAATGATGAATGAAAGAACACAACGTTTATTAGAAACATGGTGGGAGCAGTTAAAATTGAACAATATAAAAAGGGCTCTAAAATATCTAGTATAAAACATTCAGTATGCATCGAGGGCCAAGCCTACTGAAGGCCCCGTAGTCACTGTCCTTAAATCATATCCTTCAGTCTGCTGACTCCCAGTCTACTGTCCGTTGCTTCTCAGTTTTCGCTTCTCCTCTTTACGTGGTCCAACGTCCAGCCCAGACAATAGAATATTTACAGCAGTTACGGAGTCACACACATTTCAATCTCCACAGTAGTTCTCCTTAATTGTTCATTTCACTAGACTTTCTAAATAAATTGTAAGAAAGAAAATATAAAAACTAAAATAGAAACTATGCATGCAGCAATACAACTCAACTATCTTACACATGCAAAATCAAGCGTAAATCAAAACCCACACAACACAAAAATACACAAAGAAAGACTAGTGGTTTTTAACTGTGGCATGACACACATAGGCAGCAATATAAGACAGGAGTCTTTCTGGCGACAATAGGCTCACTCCTTTTGTTTGTACTGCAAGTTTAAACAAAAAAATCAAATAAAAAGGCGGCAGCTTTTCTACCAGGCTTCACTGACGGGTAACAGAAGGAAAAGGGAGAGTTATTTACTGGGAAGGAGTGGGGAATGAATTCCTACCCCTCCTCATGTCTCTCGTGGTGCCCTCCCCCCACGCAACTCCACACTGGCTGCTTCTCTCTTCCGACACGCCGCAACATGGTCTTCTCTGTGGCTCTGGGCTGCTGTGTCTACCCAAAAGTTTCCGCTCCTCAGCAGTAGACCATCTCCGCCAAAGTCCACGCTCGGCTTTTGTCTGTTTCTCCGTCTGCGGTCATCTGCAACATTTACCTTTGTCGCTCTGACCTCCCTCCTCTCGCTCTGCTGCCGTTTCCTAGGTCACTCTCTGTACTTCTTCCCTGAGGCCGCGACACCATCTTTACTTTGGCTGTATATTTGTATATTTGGCCCAGTCTGCTGCGTCTAACTTGAGGGTTCCGCTTGTCAGCAACGCGGCCAGCCTCTTGAACGCCCTCCCCTCCCTGTTTCTGGTGCTGGTTCTTCCACCCTCTCCTGATTCCCCTGTTTGTCCTTCCACCCTCAGCGGTTCTCTTGTTCTTCCGTTTCTTATAAAAGGAACACCTGGCACAAAATCCTACACCGGTGGCCTATTCACTCTAAAAAGGGGGCGTGACCTTTCGCTGCTCTACAATACACTCTCACATGCCAAATCGCCTATGTGACACTTCTTCTCTTCAAAGTTCAGCTTTAGATCCAGAAATGTAAAAGTCCAGCAGCTCAACACTGACAGGAGACATTACTGTGAAGCAGCACATGGACAAAACAATCCCAGCAGCATCAAGACTCTGATCATCTCCAACAGCTTCCTGTGTTTCTGTCCCCTGTTAGCTGCTGCTCTCATCTGCTTCTGTCAATAAAGTTATTCAAACTGCTGCTGCTGTCTGTGCAGCTCATGTTCTGCTTTGTTGTCCTCTCAGGCTGTCAGGTGGAGGTGGAGGAGGGGGCGGAGTCTGTCCTGCTGCCCTTCAAGACCACAGAGAACCTCCCTGGGGTCGTCAGAGTGGAGTGGATCCGCTCTGAACCCAAACCCTATAAGAAGATCCACGTGTATCAGAACGGCTCTGACCAGCCTGACCAACAGAACCAGGATTACAGAGACCGAACAAAGATGAAGGAAGACCTGCTGACAACTGGAGACCTCAGTCTGACCCTGAAATCCCCCACAGACAGAGACGGAGGAACATACAGGTGCTACGTCTACAGCTGGACCATCATGAGAGGGAAATCAGTTGTTCTCAGGGTCAAAGGTCAGTATGCAGACTGAGGTCAGAGTCTCTGTGTTTGTCTCTGTCTGACTGTCCTCTGTCTCCTCTGCAGAGAGAAGCAGGAACAGAAGCAGCTCCACTGATCCAACTCCTCTGATGGCCGATCAATCTGTTTGATCTTTGATCATTGATCCGATCTGACTCTGGATCAGAGAGAAAATGGAGGTGAAGCAGCTGATGGAGGACGGATGAAGACAGGAGGACGCTTTGTCAGCTTCCTCTTCACTCTGACTCCTCCTACTGACTCTCACACACAGTCTACACACTCACTATTGATTCCTGCTGATCAGTGATGTCAGAGTGAGGTCAGCGTGATGTCACATGGCTTGAACGGGCGTGTTTCCTGTGAACCTCCCAGCGGCTGGATAACAGCTGCGGCTCTCTGGATATTTGTGGCTCGTTCTAATGCGTGCAGTCAAACAAACTTTATTTCTACAGACACAGAGAAGTCAGCAGCTGCAGGAAATCAGAACCACTGACAGGAAGTTAAGAGTCAAGTTAAACCACATGTCAGAACTTTCTACAGCAGCAGGATTTAGAAGATGCTGGAAGCTGCTGTCTTTAGATTCCATTATTTCCATTTCCAATCTAAATATGTGAAAACACTTAAATAATTCTATTATATAGCCTAAAGATGGGCAACATGTAAGAAATTGTCCCGTTAATTAATTAAGATCTCCTCTCTAAAATCACAGAGGCTGCAGGGCTTGTTGTCTGAACGTGAATAAATTAATTACACATTTTATCAAGTGGTGTGTAATAATATCCTACTTCTCCTCATTACCACTGAATACAAATGTGTTCTGTAGTCCACCTACAGGGTAACCACGAACAGAACCTGCTCCTTGGTTAACGCCTATCCACTGAGCCCAGGGGCCGTTGGGCAGAGAGGGGCCCTCTGTGATGGAGGTTATTTACAAAAAAATGAAGTCTCATGAATCTCTGTTCTATGTCAGTTGGATAAAATAACTATTCGGCCATCAGTGACGCTTTGTTGTTGTTTGACAGGTGGGCTGATTAAACAGTGACAATCCGAGTCAGACAAACAATGCAGCTACCAGAATTACTGTGTTTCTGCCGTTGCTCTACGTCATCAAAGCACGGTTTTACAGTGCGATCATGCACAGTAGACGCCGGTGCCACTAGACTTTTATGCACACACAGACTCAGTGCTCTATTTCATGGGATGCAATGTAGTTTTTGATTATATTGAACTATTTTAGCACTCTGAATGGCTCAGGCTTGCCTGACCTGGTCTTGTTCAGTGCAGCGCTGCTTTGCATATACAAACTGAGGAGGCAGGTGTCATCCTGAAGTTTCTTGAAGGTCTTTATCATAATGAAATTGACTGTATGCAAGTACAACACTATATTAAAATAACTGCAAAAAATGGAACAGATGCTAACACAAAACAGGACGTGATCAAAGAAACTTACAGAAAACATGAAAGCAGAACCCCAAAACCACAACAAGTCAATTTGCAAATAACTGAAAACTAAATTGTGCATCACACAGTGAAAGCTTTTTGTAGAAATGTGAAAAGAAGTGAGATGAAACCAGGAGCAGACTGAGCCTGTAGAAACGAACAAATATCATACAGAAGACATTTGGGTGGTAATGACCACTACTGAACGTGAGCGAGAAGAAATGTTGCAGCCCTTTACATGGAGAGTTTATGCAGCGCCTGGATGAGCACCAGTTTTTTTCTTGTCATTGTTCATTCAGGATAAAGGAGGATTTTTTATTGAAGCTGAAACATTAAAACTTGAGCTGACATGTCTTCACCTCAGCTGGACCCAACTGGAGCGAAACTGCCTCTCTTTGCATCGACTAGATTTGGCTTTGCTTTCAGTCTGAACAGAGGAGACAGATTCCAAACCAATAAAATAAAACCAAATAAAAACAGAATGAATGAATATAGATGTCTGTAGCAGGATTACTACTTTAAATGGAACATCTGCACTCATAACATCTTTTGGGACACCACCTTCAATCAAAGGAGAAATGAAAAAGAGTTGTGAATCCCCAATACATGGATCCTTAGTTTCTGCTTCGAAGAAATATTCACAGACTTGATGATAAAGGAAATGTTTATTTACACTTCAATGTTAAAAACAAGTGAATAAAGCAAATAAATGAGTTTTTAATAAAGGTTATACAACGTGAAACCAGAATCAAATAAATGCATGTAATGGGTTTTTAAACAGCAATTTAGAAATGATTATTCAGTTTGGCCACAGTGAAAAAGAGGATGTGATTTATAATGAACTCTAGAGGACTAATTCAGCTTTCCTCAGACCTACATTCACTGACCTGCCAGTCAGAACTGAAGAAGTCCCTTGGATGAGGGACGAAATGTCTTCTAGTATCTTCAACGAAGTCCAGTTGCCCTTGACTTTAACCTTTGTTGGATAACTATGACCTGGATGACTGAGAACCTTCACTGACATCTTTAGAGGTGCTATAATGTTTAAACAACACAGCTATCAATCAGGGCAGGAGGACACAGCTAGCTTGGCTCTGAACGAGGCTCACAGTGATGCAGCGTGACTGCGTAGGTGATTTTTGAGGTTATTACTCGTAGTAAAAGCTTTCCCACACTGTTCACACCAGTACGGTTTCTCTCCTGTGTGAACACGTCTGTGTCTGTTTAGGGTCCCTGATGTAGTGAAAGCTTTCCCACACTGTTCACACCAGTACGGTTTCTCTCCTGTGTGAAGTCTCAGATGAATATGTGGTGTATAACATATGTGCATTTGACCATTACAGTTTAACATAATACTCTGCAGCTGGAGAGAGGGACAGTGAACCCTTATGGGGAAGTAATGATTGATGGGTGTGCAAAGAGTGAACCCTCCTATGGAATTTGACCTCTGACCCAGTGGTAGGGGGAGTAGAGATTAGTGTGTATGAAGGGACTGTGCCCTTATATGGTCTTTAGCAGATACCTAAACATGTCCTATATAAGCTGTGTTTGATGTACAGAGAGACAGAGTGGCCATCGGGCTGGGTCTCTCTCCAAGCTGCTGCAGAGCTTGTAATTGATGCTGAACTCCTTGATGTAATAAACTTTTATGATCAAGAACAGTGTCAAGCGGATTTCTTCTCAACACACCATCGCAGCATTATTGTTCGGACACCACAAGTCTTTAAATTTCCAGATGTTGTGAAGGATTTTCCACGGTCCTGACAGCGATGACTTTTGAGTCCATCTCTTTCTCTCCGTTTCTATAACAGCAGAGACATGAAAGACATTGAGCGAGATGTTATGGTGGCACAAGCTATCCAGAACCATTAATGACATTCAGAGCATGTCTGTGGAACATAACCCACAATCCTTTTATTATTTATTTTAGCATTTTACAGAGAAATAGAGAGGGTTGTGTATGTTACCAGCACAGATCAGGTAAAACAACAGTGAACACGCCAGTGCAGATGTTATTTGTAAGTTTCGATCATTTCTAGAGCCCGACTGTTATATCAGCTGGCCGATATGAGCTAATTGCATTTAATCGGCATCTGCCATTTATAACAGCAGATATACAGGTGCTGGTCATATAATTAGAATATTATCAAAAAGTTGATTTATTTCAGTAATTCTATTCAAAAAGTGAAACTTGGATGTTATATTCATTTGTTACACACAGACTGATGTATTTCAAATGTTTATTTCATTTAATTGTGATGATTAAAACTGACAACTAATGAAAACCCCAAATTCAGTATCTCTGAAAATTAGAATATTACTTAAGACCAATACAAAAAAGGATTTTTACAAATGTTGGCCAACTGAAAAGTATGAACATGAAAAGTATGAGCATGTCCAGCACTCAGTACTTAGTTGGGGCTCCTTTTGCCTGAATTACTGCAGCAATGCGGCGTGGCATGGAGTCCATCAGTCTGTGGCACTGCTCAGGTGTTATGAGAGCCCAGGTTGCTCTGATAGTGGCCTTCAGCTCTTCTGCATTGTTGGGTCTGGCGTATCGCATCTTCCTCTTCACAATACCCCATAGATTTTCTATAGGGTTATGGTCAGGCGAGTTTGCTGGCCAATTAAGAACAGGGATACCGTGGTCCTTAAACCAGGTACTGGTAGCTTTGGCACTGTGTGCAGGTGCCAAGTCCTGTTGGAAAATGAAATCTGCATCTCCATAAAGTTGGTCAACAGCAGGAAGCATGAAGTGCTCTAAAACTTCCTGTTAGACGGCTGCGTTGACCTTGGACCTCAGAAAACACAGTGGACCAACACCAGCAGATGACATGGCACCCCAAACCATCACTGACTGTGGAAACTTTACACTGGACTTCAAGCAACGTGGATTCTGCGCCTCTCCTCTCTTCCTCCAGACTCTGGGACCTTGATTTCCAAAGGAAATGCAAAATTTACTTTCATCAGAGAACATAAGTTTGGACTAGGACACAAGGAATGCGACAGCTGAAACCCATGTCTTGCATACGTCTGTGCGTGGTGGTTCTTGAAGCTCTGACTCCAGCTGCAGTCCACTCTTTGTGAATCTCCCCCACATTTTTGAATGGGTTTTGTTTCACAATCCTCTCCAGGGTGCGGTTATCCATATTGCTTGTACACTTTTTTCTACCACATCTTTTCCTTCCCTTTGCCTCTCTATTAATGTGCTTGGACACAGAGCTCTGTGAACAGCCAGCCTCTTTAGCAATGACCTTTTGTGTCTTGCCCTCCTTGTGCAAGGTGTCAGTGGTCGTCTTTTGGACAGCTGTCAAGTCAGCAGTCTTCCCCATGATTGTGTAGCCTACAGAACTAGACTGAGAGACCATTTAAAGGCCTTTGCAGGTGTTTTGAGTTAATTAGCTGATTAGAGTGTGGCACCAGGTGTCTTCAATGTTGAACCTTTTCACAATATTCTAATTTTCTGAGACTCTGATTTCGGGATTTTCATTAGTTGTCAGTTATAATCATCAAAATTAAAAGGAATGAACACTTGAAATATATCAGTCTGTGTTGAATGAATGTATACATTATACAAGTTTAACTTTTTGAATGGAATTACTGAAATAAATCAACTTTTTAATGATATTCTAATTATATGACCAGCACCTGTATTTCTATTAAAAAAAGAGAGTCAGATCCTTCCAGATCCTCCATTTACAATGCTGTCCTTTCAGCACTTCCCAGGAAACTTAACAAACGTAACCTATTGGCCTGTGGTGAAGGTGCCAACGACGGTCATTCAGACTTGACCGACAACCATAACGACTGTCGTTACCACAGCCAGAAGCACTAACAAACCAGCGGTATTGACGATCCTGGCAAACAACTTCACTGAGCTTAAATAGCTCAGTTTACCTACCAGTCAGTCAGAACTGAAGAAGTCTCTAGGATGAGGGACGAAACGTCTCCAAGTATCTAAGTCCAGTTGCCCTTGACTTCAACTTTTTTTGGAAATCATGACTGTGACGTTACAACACAAACTCACGGCCCAACCAGGAGAACCAACTCATGTGTGCACATTTTTAGCTGAGGATTGCGGCTTACTTTGGCTAGCCTTCAACTCAACAGTCACTCATGATTTTAGTTAAATGTTAAAGTTGCCAGAGGTAACATTTT